GAGCACTGGGATAAAGCATACTCAGTTCAGATAGGCTCCTTGGAGAATTTAACTGCAAAATTCAACAAAAGCTTTCCAATGGGTGAAAATGCAATTTTTCCAACACTTTTTGAATTTTCATCAGGGCAACAAAGACCATGTCTTTCCAATTTTGCAAAATTTCAATTATGTCCTTACATTCTATCTGTATGCACTATAGAAAAATTATTCTATACAATATACAATATATTCCATAATAAAGAATATAATACTATCTCTTTCATGCTTCAGGTTACTTAACTAGGGAAATACTTATGCCTTTCTTATTCCTCTCAAAACTATATCTGTATCTCAGTATCAAAGCATGTCTGAGGTAATAGTCTTTTTATCCACAACCAGTAATTTTTTTCAACTTACTGTATTAAGGATGCTATGAAGTTCTATAACTAAGCAAACAAAGTAGGAAAGCTGCAGCGTTCTGTGGGGAAGTGAAATAATTTAAATACGAAGTGTAATTTCAACATTTAAGAAAACAGTATGCAAGAAAATAATAATTAAAAATAAAATTTGTATCTACTATCTATTGTGAATAAAAGGATACTTGTCAAGTTGAAGTTATGTTTAATGTTGATATTTTTAACTATTGCTTTTGTGAGTAAGGAATAGGACTAATTTAAGTGTAAAAGATAATTGCATTTGTCAATAAGTGGCGTATGTTCTGTTCTATCACTTTTAGTTCATGTAGACTTTTGTAAAATGGGAGAGATAATAAGAAGAAATTTGAATGTGAGGCTATAAAAAGAAACAATAAAGGCTATTTTAGGGTTGGGTTTGGGTTTTTTAAATAATGGGTGGATAACAGTTTGTTGGAATATCCATGAAATGTTAACAAATAATCATAATAAATAACCCAAATGTGGGTCTCAAATATACTTCCATATTTTTTAACAGACATAAACAGATGCTAAGTTATTAGGAACTGGTGTAGACACTGGTTTTAAATGTTTTCTTTCTTGCTTCTGTTTAAAATAATAATAAAGCAGATTATCCTCTTCTCCATACATATTGTAGGTTCACTAGATGCCTATGCCTAGCTCCCAATCCGGTTTCCCAAGACCCCCTCATCCCACACAAAAAGGTACCATACAAAGATAATGTTTGACTTTTATATACTGTTTTGTTACCAGACTTCTTACTAAGCATTAGAACAATGACATTTACTTTCTTATTTCCATTGACTTTTTCTTCCCCATCTGGTTACTTACCATGTATTTGTCTGCCTACCTTATTTTT